ACTTGACTGTCATGTAGCGAGCCGCAAAATATCGTTTTGCGGGTCGCAAATGGCCCGCGGGCTGTGCGTACGAGACCCCTGCATTAGATGTTTATTTATTTATATTCACAAAGATCTCATTTTTATAGGAAGAATGTAAATATTGCTACTTTCTTCCATCATTTTTGATTTCTTCAGGATGTAAACGTGAACGAATTTCAAAATATATAAAAATATTTCAGTTTCGGCTTCTGTTGAAGTCTCTTTAAGCTTTTGGTTTCGGCTTTGCTTTCGGACGAAAGTCATTTTTTTACTTTCGGCCTAGTTTCGATTTCCCCCGAAATCAGTAAATCACTTTCGGTCGGTCTCTACTAGAAACGTCATGAAACCAATGAAATGGTAAATCTACAAAACTGAGAAATGTCACAGAGAGGTACAGAAATCTACAGAACTAAAGTAAAATTTCCATAGGGCATAATTTATTTCATCTTAAAACCCTCATAGAAAACATGTGAACATTCTAGAATACAACAGAAACTTATAAAAAGACAAATCACTGATAAATTAACATTGCAATAAGCTTATAGATCCCAATAATATCATTTATATATGCTCTAAAGGAACAATAAAGACCTATATGAAATATTCAATATTTAATTTATTTACGCCAAAAAGAAACTTCTGACAAATTTTTCCTCTATTTCTACGAAATCATTTTTCAGGGGTAGGAAAAAAAAACCCAACAGTTTTCATTTCATTTTAAAGAGGGGACCCTATGGGGACCAATTACATAAGTTGACATTTTAGTTATGCCTTTAATAAGGGCCCTATAAAAAAATCAGTCAGATAAATAATAGATTGAAACTTTAACTTTAATTGTTGTCCCATTAAAAGCGGTTAAAATGCAGAACTATATTTTTTTAAAATTATTGAACGTTCTGTAAACTTCTATAGACCGGCCTCGTATGTAGCTGATATTATTACTTTTACTTTTAAATTCTGATTCTGAAAGGGTACGTTGCTACACCCATGTACTGCCATATGTGCAACGGTTTGGGAAACGATGCGGCTCCTAGCCAGTGTTTCTTTCAGAAATTTCCCCCCGGGGGAGCACTTCAGATTTTCGGGGGGGGGGGGGCACTTCAGATTTTT